TAGGTAGTTGGAGCTGTTTTTCATTTTATATAAGGCAATGGTTCTAGTAGTGCTTTTATTTTCGTGTACAAATGATGTCCACTCATCAGAGGGGTTTTCTTGCGTCTCGAAGTTTTGAAACATTTTTCAAAACTTGTTTGAAACAGTTTCCCAATGACCTCATAACTTCTCGGCGCGAGAAAATGGTTCAAAAATATGGATTGGATTGTATTTCGGAACAGTTTGAACCAATTTTGTGTGACGTCATGGGTTTATGGCGAGAATATACACTATTTCAAACCTGTTTTGAACCAATTTCAAAAAAGTGAACGCGAGAAAACACCCAGGGCACTTATATGATTTGGAAATGTCCCCACACTGTTTTACAGTTATTTTAGATAATCTTTTCGCCCCAATAAATTGAATAAAATGTAAAATGAGCTGCAAAAAATGTAATTTAATTGTTTGTTATTGTTATTTCAAGAAAAACGTCACTTTTGAAACCAAAGTGAAGCTAGGTACAAATACTTTCTTCCATTCCTAACAGCCAGCTTAACATTTTCTGTTATCGATTTCGTCAATCATGCCGATATAACATCCACTGTTATTTTATATGTTATCTATTTCCTGTTAGCATAACATAACAGGTTTATGTTAATTTTAACGTAAACGTTCAATCATAGGACCCATTGCTTTCAAATTTTTATGTAGAAAAGGCTTGTGTTGCCAACATAGTTACTAAATTTTTGACTTGGGGAATTATCTTTAAAAAAAACAGACTTTAGTGTCTCTCTGGGACTAAAAAAATCCTAACTCCGCTGTCTCTGCTTTTTTCCAATCAAATTTTAGTATGTTTAAGCTAAAAGTCTTCTGGATATTTGAAAAAAAAATCTTTACTTTCCAAAGTTTCCCAGATTTCCTGGAAAGAGACGCAGGGAGTGCAATGGAAATTATCGATAATTTTTGGGGAATTTTCCCGAATGCACTTTTAGTTGAAAAAGAGCACGAGTGTACGTAGTGCACTCGTGCCTTTTTCAGTTGAAAACGCATGAGTGCAGTTTTATCAAAAATTAAAAATATATTTCCATTGCACGAGTTGTATTTTATGAGAGAATTTCATGAATCAAAAATTTAAATTTTTTGTCAAAAAATGTCAAAACATCAGTTCTTGCACCAGTTATGCAATTATCCGATAATTTGCACTAGTACAAATTATCGCGTAATTCCAATCTGATTGGTTCAAATCAACAATCAAAACATGTCAGTTTATTGTTGGAATATCAGTTTTGACAGATGTATGAAATTCTCACGTATAAAAAAATGTCACAAATTCAGGGCGTGGCACTTTGACTCCTCAATTTTTTTTTTTTTAGTCACAAGCCACAACCTATGTACGCCCCTCTCCCTCCCCCAAACATATTTTCTGGGTGCGCGTGTTACTTTGCTTACTAAATACAAATTTTTGAAAGTGACAACCTTCAAATAAGTCACTTTTAAAGTTAAAAAAGGACTCTGTGAAGAGGATTTATGCAAGGCTGTAGGTCTTTAGACAAAAAAAAAAGAAACATGAAATTGTGTTAATAAAGTGTTTGTTGCATATGATGAGAACCCCCTACACCGCAAGGTACTTCTTATTTGTTGCGCTTATGGTTCTTGAAGTATCTTTTTATAAAACAACTTTACTATGAGAATTGAGGCAACCCATCCATTTGGTTTAAAGGTTACTATGAAATACTATTTTATGTAGAAATTATCCATTGCAACGATCACATACCCGTTAGTATTGCCGGCTCTTGGACTACTAGTAGTTATCTTAACTCTTGTAAGCGCACCTGTATGATAACTTCTTTATTGTTGCGGATAGATTTTATTCTCCCACGTACATCTATACTTAAATCTAAATATTAAACTATGAAAAGGAAAAAAACTCCGTTCAGCTTGTTCAATATCGATGGGAACCCTCATTTTATTATAGACTGGGAGCTCATAACACAAAAAAGTTAGTCATTTGTAACAGGTATGGCGACCCCCTAGGAGTCGAATTACGTAATGAGGAAAAGGAAAAAGATAATAACTTTCTTGCCGTTAGGCCCTAATCGTATGGCGATTAATCGAACTTGTCAGATAAATTGTGGGTTTCAAACGATTTGTAACACAAAGATTCTTGTATTTTTCGATAGTTTATGAAAATTGAACTAGTCGAAAACAAAATGCCATACTTTTCCGGTGGATCTTGAAGCCCACCGTACCAGTCGGCGCGCGTTAGTTTTCAATATATTTTTTTTAAAATTGAATAAAGAATAAAGGCTTTCACGGCCAGACAAATCTAGTGAAAAAGTTTTTTTCTACTTGCGTGCGCAAAGTAATCATTTTGCACACTCATTTGCGTGCGCAAAGTTGAATTTTGCGCACGGAAACTCTTTGCGCACTCATTTTTGTTACGCATAATTACCATAGTTATACTTGATTTTTCAATGTTTTGATGGTTTCTGAATAAACTAATATTCAAAATGAAAGGTTTTAGTTGAAATTAACGCTTAGTTAACATGATGTTTCCTATCAAAGGTGTTCAAATTGGACCAGCCTGTACTGCTAGGAATTTGTAAAATTTTTGATATTTAAGAGACTCTCATGAAAATATTCTTGCTGATTCTAGAAATTCAAGAAGATGTGAAAAGATATTTGGGGATTTAATTTAAAAGACATTCTGAGGAATTCCAATAGATTTTAAACAATTTTTGAAGATTTTGATTTGATTGATTTTTCTAATATTTTAACAATTCAAAGTCTACTTTTTTAAGATACTTGTAGAAAAAATATTGTTCCTAACACTTGCGCAAAGTGACTTTCCCGCACTCAAAGCTTATCCGAACTCCGCTTCGCGTCGTTCGTCTAACTGCTTTTTCGTGCGGGAAGGTATCACTTTGCGCACTTGTTAGGAAAATAACTATTTCCGGGCTATAATTGCCGTGGTCCATTATTATTTCTACCTAACGTATCGTTTACTGCTGCGGTAGACATCTTCAGAGGCGGTGTGGTAGAGGACGAAGTGTTCTCTTCTGTGTTTTTCCGATGACTGAATTCGACGTTGAGGGAACTGCGTTATTTATATGCAGGGTTGTGGGCGTGGCTTGGATTACGGTATTTTCCTTGTCTCGTTTTCGGAAAGGAAAGGGTCTTTGTTTTTCGGAGAACTGGCAACCAGCTTTAGTTTGAGGTTCATGCCCTCTTCTTTTCTGTTGAACCTGTTGTGGTGTTTCTGAATCTCTATGGCTTCTCTATGGACCCTGGTGTAGAAATGTTTAGTTCTATCCAATGCTTGAGTCTGGTCGAAACGAATGACATGGTTTGTTTGTGTAAGCACATGTTCGGCGATTGCTGATCTATCTATTTGTCCTTGCTGACAGTTTCTTTTGTGCTCTTTGACCCTGGTATTGATAGAGGGTTTGGTTATTCCTACATAGACAGATCCACAAGAGCAGGGAATTCTATAGACGTCAGCCGATTCAAGAGGTGCCCTAGGATCCTTGGCCGATCTTAGACTTTGCTGAATTGTTCTTGTGGGCTTGTAGATAGGCTTAACGTTGTGTCTTTCTAGCGTTCGTCCTATGCGATCTGTGACATTTTTGATATAGGGAAAAAAGGCTCTCACTGCCAGTCATTCGTTTCGACCAGACTCGAGCATTGGAATAGAACTAAACATTTCTACACCAGGCTCCATAGAGAAGCCATAGAGATTCAGAAACACCACAACAGCTTCAACAGAAAAGAAGAGGGCATGAACCTCAACAAAAGCTGGTTGCCAGTTCTCCGAAAAACAAAGACCCTTCCTTTCCGAGAACGAGACAAGGAAAATACCGTAATCCAAGCCACGCCCACAACCCTGGATTTAAATAACGCAGTTCCCTCAACGTCCAATTCAGTCATCGGAGAAACACGGAAGGGAACACTTCGTCCTCTACCGCACCGCCTCTGAAGATGTCTACCGCAGCAGTAGACGAAACGTTAGGTAAAAATAATAATGGACCACGGCATTATAGCCCGGAAAAAACTTTTTTACTAGATTTGACCGGCCGTGAAAGCATTCATTCTTTATTCAATTTTAAAAAATATTAAAAACTAACGCGCGCTGACTGGTATGGTGGGCTTTAAGCCCCACCGGAAAAGTATGGCATTTTGTTTTCGACTAGTTCAATTTTCATGAACTATCGAAAAATACAAGAATCTTTGTGTTACAAATCGTTTGAAACCCACAATTTATCTGACAACTTCGATCAATCGCCATACGATTAGGGCCTAACGACAAGAAAGTTATCATCTTATTCGTTCTCCTCATTACTTAATTCGACCCCTAGGGGGTTGCCATACCTGTTACAAATGGCTAACTTTTTTGTGTTATGAGCTCTCAGTCTATTGGTGTGAAGTCTCTGATCATAATATCTACCAAAATTCATCAACGTACTTTGCAAATATTGTTTTTAATTTTGTTTTTCAAATTGACTGTTAATTATAGTAATTTTAAGTGTGATAACACAGGCATGTTTTTTTTTGTATTCTGGATGTCCTTGCGGATAGTTTCCTATTCTTTTTTTGACTCGTTAGTTTTAAATTGCTTGTCTTTTAAGTACGTAAACCACTCTTTTTGTACAATTTTAGTTAGTACTGATAATGGCTGATTAGCCGAAAGCGCTTTGCTCTTATTAATTAGAAAATATACCTACACGTTTATATAAAGTCTCCTACTTTATTTATCTTCTTACGTGTACATAGCCGTTGCAGATTTTTTATTTAATTTCACTTGAAACAGATAATCATCAAGGAAATTATTCTTTCAATGGCCATTTTTAAATGGAGTTGAAAGATGTGATGTTTTCCTTCCTAGGTTTAATCTTAACTATGGTTGAACCACGAACCAAATCCAAGTGGCAGTAAATGACAAACTCGTCATTTTCATTACAACCTATCAAATGTCCTCATGAATTAACAAATTATTATTTCAACTTCAAATTATTATTTTATAGTGTGGATTCTTCAAACGGAAACGACCATCGTCGGCTCCTGAAAGGCAACCCTTGCGATCAAACGGATACCATCCTGGAGACTAGCATACGGATAACTTGAGATTTTAGATCGAATAAATATCAAATTTTTGTGTTTGACAAAGAGATGGGTACTTAAACTAGTTTGTGAGATTAGGAAATCGATAATCTAACAACCACTAATGCAAGATAACAACGGAATAATAATAATAACAAAGACTATTGAAAAATGCGAGTGTGCAAGTTTTTAGTCATTTTTTGTTTATTTGTGTGTTCATACTTACTACTAGAGACGACATTAGTATATTTGTATGTTAACAGCACTACAACAGAAACTTATTAAGACGAAAGAGGAATATTTATTCATAATAAATTTGTAGAAGTAATGTAAAAAGTGGAGAAGTTTGCTGCTCTCTTTTTTCTAGTTAAAAAAACCTCTTATCATAGAATTAGAATGTGGATGACTGATAATGCTGACAGAAACATTTTTTTTTAATTAGGCAATAATTTAAAAATATTTCTCTGTAAGCGGAGCGTTGAAAATGTGCAAAAATGAATTTCGAGTTAAATAAAACAAAAGTGCTTTAGAGTAAAAGTGCCATAGAAGCTGAAGACATAATTTTCAAAATGACAATTATGTGCCTTAAAATAAACAAGTTATTTTTTATCAGTTTATTATTCAGTGCCAGATAATAGAATTTAGATAATAATAATAATTAATTATTGTAGAATTTATTGTATCCTCGACTAAAACAAAAAATACGCTTATTTTTAACTCTTAATTTACGTAACATATTAAAAGATTGATATTTTTGCAGCTACAATAATAATTATATACCTAATTAGGTAATTTTAAATATTTCATTATTTATATTCTTAAACGATGTAGATGATATTATGAACCAAGTCATGAACAAATATTACAAATAGCGCATATAGGTAGCTGGTATTTGTATATTTTTTCTCTCAACCGGACTAATAAAATGAATTCTGATTAGGGATTTTGCAGAAAGGGCTTATGAATAAATTCCAGTCCATAAAAAAATTAAATGTTCACGCACTAGAAAAATATATGTAAATCTTTTTGAAATTTTGCCGGCATAAGCAAGTAGTGTGCCTATAGCTACCTACTATCTGAACGAATAAATTTATGTTATAAAAAATGTAAGTAAATTATACGATCCCAGTTATTTGTTGTACATTTGTGAGTTTATTTATTGAAAGTAGTTTTTAAGAGAAATATTTAGATGTTAACACATGAAAGCCATCAATTACAACAATTAAGTTAAAATTGTAGATTTAATATGAAGTAACACAATCATCTATTTTTGGCCGTGAAGCAAGTGCACTTATTAAGAAATTGAGACGAATCTTATTAGAGACTAAATGTAAAAAGTGTTCGAATTTGTATAATACTTTTTTTTTTTTTTTTGTTAAATGTATATTTTTATTTTTAGTGATTTTAACAATGTCTGTGAATAAAATTAAATTCTTGTTATTTATATATTTGCGTTTCTTTCCACCATTCTTAACAACTTGTTTGGGATGCAGCAACTAAAACTCAAAATGCTTCACTTAATTTTGTTTTTCTGGAGAGAGGTGATCAATTAGCATCAATATTTGTACTCTGCTTCTGGGTTTTGGAGAAAAAAAGTTGGGGCTTCAACTGACATGAGGGAAATGTAATGTTACTTCGAGTTATTATAGAATAGAAGATCAACATTCACAAAAGATTCTTTTGGCATAATGGCAACCTTGGTTGGTGGTACATGTTCTACCTAGCCATACTCGGTTTGTAAAAAATGAAAAATCCAGAATACAGAATAAACAATCATTATGTTTATGATCTTTTAGAATCAGCTAACACTGAATATGAAGCAATCGAAATAGCAAAACAAGTAGGTACCTACCTAACTATAATATGCAAAAATGGGTTTCGATATTGTTTACGCAATAGTATTTGAAAATTTAGTAAACTGGACTGCGTCTGGAAAATCGCGCAAACAAATAGAATTATTGAAATTGATACCATAGGGTTGTCGAAACACACAAAAGTTATTACCACTCACCTGAGTTTTCTTTCTTATAAGCTGTGCGTATATACGGGGATCACCTGGAAAATGGTTCTCCACAACCACCAACGTATCACCATCGACTTAAGGCACTCAAGGTCCCTTTTCAACGGCACAAGACATAGACCTTTTGAGCGTAAAACACGGAACCGGTAAAAATGCAACGTGCATATTATTATCAAGTACCATTGAACTAGTGTGTAAATCCAAATCTTCAACGGCTGTCTAGGTCGGCGCAGGGTCGTAGAAAATACACTCCTGTGTGTTTCACGCGAAATTGACATTTAAGTAATTCTTTAATAAGAATGAGAAGAAACAGAATTTTTTAAATAATGTTGCGTTAACATTTGCCGCCGGCCAAAACACCTGTGTTTTAACTAGCATAACGTAAAAACTAGAAAAAGAAAGAGAAGAGAAAAAACTAAAAATAAAATAAAAAATAATGAAAATTGAACATACTATACCAAAATACTGGTAATAGTATCTGTTACCAAATATAACTTCGTAAACATACCCAAAAAGAAAAGAAGAAAAAAAAAACAAAATATATACATTTCTAAATTTATTTTTTGTAAATAGTAATTAAATTTATTTAATCAGTCGAAGGGAGAGGGCACAGTTTGATAACTGGCCTTTTATATTGCCCAATCGCCGTTTTAATAGTAGCAACACGTACTTGGTTGTCGTCTCCAGGGGTGCGATTTTCGAAACCATTCGAGTACATTTCGCATACGAAATTTGACTGCTCCCTATTTAATTTACCCAACGGCCATTTCAGCGGTGGAACATTATCTTTACTAATGAGAACTAAATCATTTAATTTAACTTTAGAACCCGATTCACACCACTTTTGCCGTTGCTGTAACGTATTGACATATAATCAACCATCCAAGGACCTTTTTTTTTCAGTTATACATGTAAACCCCATACTTTGTGAGTGGATTGCTTACATCAAGTCCTACAACTTTTTCCTCTACGACTTTTCTCGGAAATGACACGTATGCGCGCAGACGACTCGCAAACATGTCGATCTGACGTAGCTATGTTTCTTGATACATGTAAATTTAATTTTACATGTTTGATTTTTATGTCTAAATCACGGAAATCAACTTGGCCGACAAAAATAACGGCAAATGGGGGGAGTCAGACACCCCCAAAAGGTCGATCTGACGAGGTTATGTTTCTTGATACATGTAAATCTAATTTTACGAATAATGCTTGATTTTTATGTCTAAATCACGGAAATCAACTTGTCCGACAAAAATAATGGCAAATGGGGGGAGTCCGACACCCCCAAAATGTCGATCTGACGAGGTTACGTTTCCTGATACATATATGTCGGACAAAAGTAAGTCTTGATCAAATAATGTTTTCTGAATGCTAAATAAGTCTTGTCCGACAAATCCGACAGGAAATAAAGTTAAGACTAGAAGAAGAAGAATTTGGAATAACTGACTGATAATGTTGGATAGATTGATGGGAAAAAGAAAGCGCCTTATATATTATACTAGCTAACCCGGCGAACTTCGTACCGCCTCTGAATAGACCTATCGATTTTACCAGACAAATAGGTAATTATACGAAAACTTCATTAGATAAAAAAAGACACAGAATGTTCATTGCGCAAGACGAGGCAAAACGTACCAAGTTATGTTAGACTTACGTATAGCAATCCGTTCTTCTTATTTGCAGGGGATAAAAAAGGAAGGAGAAAGACCGCCTGTTGTGCAACGTATTTGTCAAAAACAATTTTCGAATGTCACTTGTGAAGTAATGTCAAGTTGAATATTAATCGTACTTTTATTCTTGTCAGACCACGGGCAATGAACAAGGACAAGGAGATACTCAGCGTACAAAACGAACACCTCTCACCTGTACTAGTTAGTCAATAGAAAGGCATTGCCTCGTGTTGCGCGCGCATACCAGGTAAAAATAGATAGGTCTATTATTAAATATACCTATTAAATGTTGTGTTAACGTATCTATTAGCTGAATTAAATTCAGTTTTTTTCGATGGTGAATTTGGCTTTGGTTGAAGAAAATTAATGTTCACTCTCTGGATCAGAAGTCACCTAAAATTAAAATTTTAAATCATCCTTTTTTAGGCAGCTTGTGGGCATTATTCTTGTAAAGTGTACCACCGAATAAATAAACTCAGGCACAGGAATGTTCAAAGAATGTAAAGAAAACAAAAAAAATCTCTAGCGCAGCCCTGTTTCACTCTATCTGCACTCCATGCACTGCACTACTCCATCTGTTCTACTCTATCTGCACTACTCTATCTGATCTACTCTTTCTGCACCACTCTATCTGATCGGAATAGTGGAATAGTTCTGTTCGAAACAATTTCGAAATGACCACATTAATGACATAACAACATGCTGGTACTGTCAACGCTGAAAAAAGTTTCAATTTGACAGCAAAATCCCCATTAACAAAATGATCCTCCATTTATTGAATAATTTATTTATTAAAAAAATGTGATAAATGAAGAACTTCTCGACCGATTTTGTGCAAACTTCACATAAAACATCTAATAAATAGTCCGAACAAAGCCTAAACATTTGGTTTGGCTAGGTGAGCCTGTTCTTGAGTTATAAAATTACAACGAAAAGTGGCATTCATTTTTATATACACGGATAGATAATGATCACGTTATATTGCATGCTCATGCTGATTTGAATGACAATTTTTGAAGTTTCAGGATATGATGAACACAAATTCAAATTCTAGTAACTAGAGAGAGCAGGCCTGTAGCCAGGTTTTGATTCCAGAGGGGGTAACCAAACATTTACAGGGGGCAGACTTATTTTCATTCTCAGCATTACTTTAAATCACGACAAGCTACAAGGTGCAAAAACTTTATTTTCAAAAGTACATTATATCTGATTACAAAATATAAAATCTTAACAAAACACAAAGAAATAATAAAAATACATGAGAGCGCATTTGAAGTGGCGTTAATGACATTGAAATCTGTCAGTTCTAGTTTTA